TGTTTTACTTGTTTCCCTGCTGTTCAGCAGGTCTTCAGAAGATTGTTAATCACTCATTCATTCAAACCAGGTGTGTCAATTTATCAGTTTATACAGGAGAAATGATTGCAGTATTATTAGCCATACTAGGCAGAAGAAGTAAAACCTATAAAAGCTATAATCTGTTCAGACTCAAGTTCAGTTTTAATGAGTATAAAAAACAATCGCTCAGACAGCAGGCCAGACGTTTTACTAGAAATTAGTCACACACTATTCAGAATACAAAGGACGGGGTTAACTGTTGTTTTTCTCTGGGTACCAGCACATACAGTATAGGGGTAAGAGGAAACGAAAAAGCAGATAAAATGGCAAAGAAAGCAGTTCAAAGTGACATTAACATTATAATTAAGACAAGTAAATATGAAGCAAGAAGCATAATTAAAGAAAGATTGAAGAAAGAGTGGCAGAAGAGATGGGAGAGAGATAACAAAGGGAGGTGGTTTTATAAGATTCAAAGGAAGGTAGGAGAAACGAGAGCTGGAAAAAGGAGCAGAAAAGAAGAAAGAGTGATAACAAGGTTGAGATTCGGACATACACGACTTAATTATACACTTTTTGCAATACAAAAACATAATACAGGGAAATGTGATTATTGTGGACAAAATGAAACCATAGAACATGTTATAAAACAATGTCAGAAGTACAAACAAGAGAGACAATTTATGATAAGACAGTTCAGAAACATTAAGGAAAGGTTTGACATAATTGACACATTACAAAGGAATTTAGGGAGCAAACATATACAAATCATGATACGATTTTTGGAAAAGACAAAATTGTTTAACAGAATTTGAGTTTGATAGTATTTTTTGTATTTATTCATTCATTCATTTATTTATTTTCTTTGAATAGATAACTTTGAAAACGTAAATAGAAATACAATAATAGTAGTAGTATATAAATAATATTAGTGAAATCATCTTGAACCACACTCCACACCAGAAGGTGGCGGTAATGCACACCTTCAKTTTATTGCCAACCGCCATTAAACACCACAAGAAGAAGAAGAACCAGGTGTGTCAAATCAGGGAAACCTCTAAACATGCAGGAAAGGAGTTCTTAGAATCACTGCTTTAATACATATCTGATTTATTAATTTACAAATAAATGGCAAAGAATCAATGGCTTCCAGAGGAAATGCTAAAAAACATAAAACCAATATTATATTTTGAAAATGTCTCACTGAGCTCAAAGAAGCTTTTGAGGTGTTGGTCAACATTTAAACAGAGATTTTTAGATGTTTCCCTGACTTGACACACCTGGTTTGAATGAATGAGTGATTAACAATCTTCTGTAGACCTGCTGAACAGCAGGGAAACAAGTAAAACATGCTGGATAGGAGTACTTGAGGACCAGGGTTGGGAAYCACTGCACTACAACACGATGCAYAAAACTAAATATGAGAAGTTTTACTGAAGTTGCAAGTACAWAAACAAAAGCAACTTTTTACCAGAACCACAACCACGCAGGAGTCTGCACTCAAGGCAACGTATGTCAGTGCAAATCTGCTCGCTAAAGTAAGTGTTTACTTTTGTTTGTTTGCTTCATAGGTTTCGTATTTAYGCACCTCCACGTYCTACCTACATTAAACCAAGGACTGRMAGAGCTTTTAGCACCAGAGCCTCTTCCAGAGGAGACCTAGAAATCCCCCACAGGAAAACAAACTGTTCTGTCAGAGGACATCACAGCCTCCCAACAAACATAAGGCAACGTCCCAATCATGGCACATGTAAAAAGCTTAAACCGTCTCGGTTCCCAGTCAGGTRCTCACTTTGACAAATTTTATTGTTGTCTGAAAGTGTGTTTATGCCTGACATTGTACGTTGTAGTTTTGAGTTGTTTTGTCTTCCTGCYTCAAGACTRCAGATGTAAATTAGCAACTGTGCTACAATCTGGCTTGTTATGTAAATTGCCCATCCCTGTCRTAGGCCTTTAATTTGCATCGAGTGCTGATGAAGATCTGAACAACCAGACAATTTAACAATCAAATTGTGACATAATCACGTCTCACTAAGGAAAGGGAAACTCACAGTGGGTAAAAAGGGCTCAGACTGTTCAGACGAACAGGACCAGAATCCTCATTTTTAAACATTAAAATAATTTTTAGCCTTTTTTTAATGTCACCTAATTACCGTACGCCTTTTTATTCTCTGAGCTATGGGTTTTCTCCTGGTACTAAAATAATGCATGTTGGGTAAACTGGTTGATGGTCTCTTGTGTTGTTCTGTGATGGACTTACGACCCGTCCAGGCCGTCCCMCGCCTCTCAAACATTAACTGCTGGAGATAAGACACCAGCTTCCCCATGACCAGGAAAGRCAAAAGCTGGTAATAAAAATGGATGTCTTCAGATACTGTGTTCTGTATTAAGTAGCAAAAAAAAAAAAATGTAAGGATGTAATATTGTAGAACTCTTTATCAGCACATGGAAAACTGATGATAATGACTGAAATCCTGATGTCCTGCACTGACTGATCAGTTCACATTGATTGATTGATTCACTCTTTGATTGGGATCATCCTGGGAGGAGGGCTGCTCTTTTGTTCAGTTACAAAGAAGGGGRGATATATAAGAAGCAGCGTTTCATTTGTTTCTTGCAGTTCAGCCAGAACAGATCCGTCAGCAGAAACTACAGGTAAAAACATGCTGCTATCTGATTTTAGGACTGAAAACTGTCGATGTTATCTCTAACAGAAATAACTGAGTTCCTCATGTTTTACAGATACTGTGTGCTTCTCTAACTCTGGTCGAAGGCGCTGATGTTCGACTCGTGTCACATGAAGTGACTTCACCAAACCAACAAGTCAAAGACAGAATGTCTATTCCACTTCATCTGCTGGTTCTGATCCTGGTGGAGTTTGTCACAGGAGACCCACAGGAAGTAAAAACGCCCGACCCAAAAAGAGACGACACCAACGTTTTCCTGACGATGGCGTGGCAAGTAGCCCACCACCTCCGTCCCAAGTCCAGCTGCTACGTGTGCGGTCTGATGCCCTACACGGCTGGAGAAGGTCTACCCCTCATGGCCTTGCCTGCTTCTGACTGCGACACGTGTCACCTGATGCATGTCAAACGCCCCAAGACGTCCTCTACCCTCGAGTGCCCGGGAATCAAAATGAGACCCCTCCACTGCTCCGGACAGCAAGGAAACTGCAACAGGTGTTTGAAAACGCCCAAACCAGTTCCCATCCTGGTCATCCCTCAGAAGTTCACTTGGTGTTTGGAGAACAACGGCAGCACGCCGGTGGGACATTCAGACTGCATGCGTACCTTTAAATGGGGTTCTGGAGAGACCGAGTCCGACTGGGAACAACTGGTTTCTGTTCCTCACCAGTGTATGGACGCAGCGGGAGAGATTCGATTCAAAGCTTTGGCTCGTCGCACCGCTGACTGCTCCATCTCCTCTCCTGTCGGGATGTACTGGGTCTGCGGGAGCTTTGCGTACCCGTATCTCCCGGTGGACTACAACGGACGCTGCGGTTTGGGATATGTGGTCCCAGCCATGAGAGTCTTACAGTCTCTGCCGAACAGGCCGAGTGTTCGCCGAGTGCGCCGTGGAGTTTCAGACGTGTTTGGGACTCATTTTCAGTCACCTTTTAAGAATGTACTGGGTACACTTCTTCCTTTTTATGGAATCATGTCTGCATTAGATCAAATAGCAGATCTGTCCCACGCAATCGAAGCCATAGCTAACTCGACTGGACGGGCTCTCGCGCTCTTGTCAAACGAACTGGCCTCTGTCAGACTGCTGGCTTTACAAAACAGAGCAGCTCTGGACTTCCTGTTAGCCGCTCAGGGGGGGACCTGCGCTGTTATCGGTTCTGAATGCTGCACTTTCGTGCCTGATTATAATGTCACAATTCATGAGATCATCGACCACCTTCAGGAAACGGCTACATCCGTTCACCAGGATCAGAGCTCCTTATTTGACTTTTTAAAGCCGGCGTTTGCATCTCTCAGCGTTCAGGTCATTAAGGTGTTGCTCATTTTGGTTGTTTTGATCATGTTTTTGTCATTTTTTGTAGCATGCATGAAGAAATTCTTGTGCAACATGAGTTAAAGTAGACGTATYGTGCTTTTAAATCTTGTCAYATTTGAATCATTCAGTTGGGGTCTATAGTGGACCTACAATGCTTTGGTCTGAATTACTCATTATTGTAACTCCACAAGCCCCTCTTTCACCCTTTTTCTGAGGTGTGTCTCAGATCAACTCAATTTGGGGCWGTCTCTTTAAAACTAAACRAGGCGCTTCAMACCCCSCACACCTCCAGCTTCCAAATCGGTCTGTTCTCCAGATCTTATTTGGTAGTTTCGTTGCAAATAATTTGACGTAGAAGTTCAGACATCATAGAAAATACAGAAAACTGAATGGGTTGAATATGACMCAAATAGAATATACAGATATCTATGCAGCACCAGGAGAGACTACATAAMATTTTCTGCACTCCTAGAGACTCCAAGTACACAACAAAAGGCTAAAAAAATAGTGGATTTTGCATGAAATGTCCCTTAAAGGAACAAGCAAATCCTACTAGATTGCTTTTAATTAACAATGATAATTTTGTCAATGTGAAATCTTCATCAGAAAGCAAATACTAAAAAAGCACTGTGGTTTTCTTCTTTTTTATTGTTGTATTGACTTGTATTATATTGTTGAGTTACCATAACAGAATGTTGTGTAAATTTGGCTGTAAACAGTAAAATTAGACTGTACATTGTATAATAAAAATAAACATGAATGTAGAGAAGGAAGAAAAAAAATGAGTGTGTTTTGTGTTGTGGTTGATCACGTAGGTTTAGTTTTTAAAAGAAAATGTAAGATGATTTTGTTTTAATTTTTTAACATCATGGCTGGAAGAAGACTGAAAACTTGCTAAATCATGTTTGACTCACTCAATTTGACCTTTTATAGAAGWTTTTTACTCTAAATGTTGTGATGTTGCCTCGTTCACTTTAATATTTGATAATTTGTAAATTATCTGATTTGAATCTACTAAAAGTTCAGATATTCTCATCTTATAAGCTCTCAGAAAGATTTGAAAAAAATAATTTCTCTTTTAAATTTTAGTTGACGTGTCATTCTTTGTCTCACCTTGTCTGGGTGAACAACCAGAACTGCTTTGCGGTAGACCTTCTTGACCTGTTCCGGGGTAACCAGGTCAGCCATGCCCACAGGYTTCCAGCGTGTCTCTCCCTCCCAAAGCACAGTGTGCATGGTGGACAGCAGGGCGCGGATGTTACGTTCCTTCCCCTCAATCCAGTCCAAAATCTGGGACACAAAGACATTTTGGCTCTGGTGAAATGTTGAATGAGCCAAATTTTGGTCACTGGAGACCTACATTTGTTGTTTCATTATTTCTGGGCAACAGAAAGRTCTTGTCGATGTCAGTTTATTTATTTAGCACACAAAAACAAAAGGAGTTGACCAAAGTGCCTCACAATTYGCCCAAATAAGCAAAACAACAGAGAAACACAATGTTCAAAAATAAGCACAATTAATATAAAATACAGAAATATAGCATAAAACCATCAGCTCTAAAAGAATGTCAAACTCTGCCAGAATCAAAAGCCAGGGAGTGACCAGTAAAACTGAATTTCTTAAGCAAAAATGGAAATGAATCTTGTATTTYCTAAAAATGGACCCCAGAGACAACATATAAAGATTAAAAAGCAGAGGSCCTAGAATAGAGCCTTGAGGGATCCCAYKTATCAGACGAAATACAGAAGAGGAACATTCCCCTAAAGGAACAGAAAATGTCTTGTTCGTCAGGTAAGATTTATTCCAGGATAGAAGTTAGCTAAATGCTTTTTAGGTGCACTACCTGCAACTTACTTCTTGATGAGCTGCACTGGATACACAAACTCAAATGTAGTAAAATTTTATTTACGTTCATTTTTGTTAAAAAAAATGTTCCTGCCTTTATTTTCTCAGGGTCCATCTCTTTGGCCATTTCCTCTTTCCTCATTTCTGCTATAGTCCTGGGTCCTTTCTTCTCTTTGGTCCCTGAAAATCCCTGACCAGACAGCAGGTCATCGAAGTTAGCCTCTGAGGCTCTGGGTTTTGGACCTGGTACAAACAAAACAAAAATATAYATTTTTAAAATGCACRCAWTTAATATGAGACAATGTAATGCAGCAAACCATGTAAAAGTAAAAGTAGCCATCTATTTTTAAACTTGTATTAATTAATGCATGGACCTTTTCACRGATACGATCATTTTTGCCTAATGCAAAACATCACGGTCCAGTTCCAGTGTGTGAACTGAATGACTGGGAAAATTGGCCATGGAGATTGCTGTGTCGTGTATTACTAATGGGTTAGAATATATAGAATAATGAAAACATAGGTCTCCTAATATAATATACATCTAGCTCTAAATATCTTGAGCAATCTTGGCCGCATATAATATTTGCCGAAATATCTACAGACTACTGATCCCAACATTTGAGCAGATTAAAAGTTCTGGACAAGTTTGTCCTTTGTCTGATTACAAGTTGGTACATTAAGAACCAAAACAAATGTTTTAAGCTGCACAACAGTCCAATATTTAAAGTTTGAGAACCCGTTCCATCATTGACTTTTCTTTGAGGTTTTTTTTTTTGGATCCATCCAAAAAAAAAGGACTTTTCTTTGAGTTGCTCCCAAACAATCCCACAAACCATTGCGCTGCGTTTCCAGCACTAAACAGTATCCGTGAAAAGATCCAGTGTTGCTGCTCATCTCACTTGGCCGCCACTGTTGGAGCCCAGTTGCCAACTTCTTCGGTGGGAGAGGATCTGTGTTGACTACATGTTTAACTGTATCACACCTAGAAGACTTTTCTCACTCTTACCCACTCCAGCCTGTGGTTTGCCCGCTGCGCTGGGAGAACCTCCTCCCATCGCCGAGAAGCTGACGTTGTAGTTGGGTCGATTTTGTGGCGATGTGTGAGGCATGGAGGTGTGGCTGGGGCTCGGCTTTGGTTGGCTGGCGGGACCCTGTCCTTGGGCTTGCCATCCGCTGCCCGCTCCAGCGCCAGCCTGCCACGAAGAGAAGTTAGCTCCTGTGTGGGGCTGCCACCCTCCTGCGTGCTGGGGAGATGGCGGCGGCCGTGATGGGGAGCCCATGGGTGGGAAAGAAGGGGTTGTTCCTGTTGGAGTGGTGGGCTTGCTGGAGAATCCAGAACCTCCTGATAATGATAATAAT